TCCTTCCATTTGTGCGTAGCAGGTTAAATTTAATACGGTCTTGATGAAAAAGGCTCGGGTAGACTTTTCCCCCTTTTGTACTATTGGGTTGTTTTTCGTAAAGAGGTCTAAGATTAGACGTTTCCAATGTGGGCGGAGAGATACCAAAACAGCAGCTATTCTGGTTTCAAATATTGACAGTAGGAAAAAACGACTGTCAGCCGTAGACCAATATTATCTCCTCCTCTCAATCCATGTAATTGTGAGGTGGTTCTGATCTTGAGAAGCCAGCGCGGCTCTTTATCGGGCCCAAGATCTATTATCTAAAATAAAAGAAATAGTTTTGCCACAAGAGAGCCAAATTATCATACCACAATGCTTGCTGAGAAAACGAAACTTTGGTCGGAAAAAGTTACAGGATCTTTGAATGTAGATAATGTATGCGTGATGGGTTGACGCGTTAATGGCGATGTTATCGCTTTTCCCATTTTTATCGGATTCATTGTTCGTTGATCCTTCCTGTTCCCAACAGTGGCCATCCACCCACTTACAGGACCATGTCAAAACCCAAGCTATTCTCGTTTCAAGTATTTACGATAGGAAAAAAAGGGTTGTCAGCGGTAAACCAATATTATCTCTCTCGCTTTATGTAATCGTGAGATGGATCCGGTGTTCAGCACTGCCCATATCTGTCCTCCCCGCTGTTTCCTTTCTCAATGTTGCTCCTGGACCTCCCTGGCCCGATCAATAGCCCGGCTCTCGTGTAAACTGCTCAATTAGCTACGGCCTCACAACATGGGCAAACAGGCTGAGGAGCCGTCGAGGTCTGGTCCAGGGCGGCTAACTATGATGGAGTGTTTCCCCCGAGTCCGATGCGGACTGTCGTCTAGAAAACTGAGTTCAACATTTTAATATCTTTTGGTAGCAAAAACAAAGATGTGGACCTACTAGCTGTAGTTATTATTCTTACCCATACTTTCAAAATTCTGCAAACAATTGACTGATACCTAATCGACTGGCAATACTAAACCAAGTCATGAAAGTCTCCAGATTATCTTGGCAGTTGGGAACTTTCGTTGAACATTAAAAAGGAGACGGACACTCTTTTTTGCTTTAATAAATCATTATAATATCGTGTTCATGAGGGTGTTTGAATAGTACCATGACATATTGGCAAAAGTAACTTTTGACCCTTCCCCCGCCCCCTCTTATTTTTTCCCGTTCTTAAAATAAGTTCAAAGCGTCTTCCATGCATAATATCGTAACGGAGACACAAATTGTGGCCTCACAGAGAGTGGAGACCTCTTATGCGCGCCAATACCGCCTACAATAGTGCCTTGTAAGACCGAGACCATTACAGTCAAATCAAGCCAAGCATAGTTATCTACGCTGGCTGAGTCTTACAAGACGGATGCGAGTCCTTATACGTGTCTGTTATCGTAAACAACACCTGGCCCATCCCGAACCTGGGCATGCAGGCCATCGGACCGGACACCCCGTCACTGATTGATGCTTCGGCCGGGGGTGCTGACATCATGCACAGCCTGTCGTGGACAGTGACGTCAAGTGTATGCCTGAGTTCGCATTAGCTTTGGGGTATTTCGGATCGATCTAAAATTGGCTGAAATCTATCGTTTTTGGGGGGCATTTACGCAATAATTATCACAAGCTGAGGAAATAAAGCAGAAACAGTATCATACTGGCTCCCTTTCAAAATTGTTTCTGTGGCGGTAGTGATTAACATTTTTAACGCGCACTAGTGTGGGTTCGTATGTGTGTGTGTGTGTCTCTCTCTCTGTGTGTGTGTGTGTGTTTGTGTGTGTGTGTGTGTGTGTGTGTGTGTGTGTGTGTGTGTGTGTGTGTGT